ACTTCAGCTTATGTACATTGCTAAAAAAGGAAAATAAATATTTTTATAACATATATATCTTATAATGGAAAACTTCCAAAATTATATAAACTATTTTTTTTCTGCAAACAATGTTTCTGCGATGGCACAGCTGGAACAATATGTTATAGATATTGTATACATGACAACGATGACTAATGTCCAATTCTACACTGACATAGATTAACTTTTAATTACTTTTTTTATCTTTTTTCAATTCTAAGAGTTAAAGGAAAAATTATAGTGTAAACTAAACCAAGATTAAAATTCATATATTGATAAAAATTAAACGAACATAATTATAAAAATAACGTCTGCACATACTGCACACCAATGCATATATATTGCGTATAGTTTCAAACATCGTCATGTCATCGGTAGAGACGGTGATCAGTCTGATGTGTGTCAGTTAGATGTGCAACACATGTATGTCCGTCGATTGACTCGCAATAATCCGTCACAGTAAAAACTGATTAAAACTCGGTACGACAGAATGCTACGTACTAACGACAATCAGTCTCACAGATAAGATGTCTCGTTTCTGGCAACAAATATGTTTCTATTGTTTGGTGACAATCGTGATCGCATATTCCATCGTCTCCGCTGAAGATGCGTTGCTGTTAAAATCGTGTGATCAACGCTTCAAAGATACACGCAGGTGATTGACTCCGATCTCTTTCTTTTCATGAAGTAGAGTGATATTTGTAACGAAATTTTTTTTCCACATTTGTTATCTTCCCAAGTGTCCTGCATGATTATTTTGTATATAACCACAAAATCTGAATGAAGACAGTCGAACGAAAATTTGATTAGACACCTGTTAACCTTCTATCAAAACTATTTTCGAGATAGCTTTAAAAATCTAACTTGTGAAAATAAACAAAATATATTATAATAATACATGATTTGAATGCTACAAAAGGTATGTACTTTGTTGTTGCTTGGGATTGCATTGAGATTTTTTTCCAAGATCATTATATATAACCACAAAATGTGAATGAAAATTAAGTTGAACAAATATTTTATAACACACCTATTAATCTTTCACTAAAACCGTCTTCGCTTTAAAAATTTCTAGCACATAAAAATAAAATGTATGTGTTATAAGAACACATACATTTGAAGCCTATTCTTTGTTGTTACATTGGATGGCACTAAAACTTTCTTACTTTCACTAAAAACATTTTACACAAATATATATCTATCTATTTCATTTTAAACACCACGTGTATATACTATATACAGTTTAGCTATAAAGAATGGATCCAAAGTCTAAAAATTTCTATGACTTGGAAGATATGATTGACAAAGCAACAACCAATAAATAACTTAAAAGTTCAAATTAAATAACAAAATATTAATTATATGTTTGGCATATCTGAATCTTTCTTATTAATAGATGTATTTTGTTTCACCAGTTTGATATTTGTCAGTACATTGGATGGAAAGATATCAGCCCTCAATGCTAGCAACTATGGCAAAGAACAGTGGACTGTTGATTTTAACAATGGGCCAATGTTGTCATCCAGTATTCATGATACAGAAGTAAGAAAGTTTTTATGAATTTTTTTATCTTTTATTACTGGATATTATTGTATAAATATTTCTTATAACTCTTAAATAATATAATATATTACTGTTTAAGATAACTCTTAAATAATATAATATATTACTGTTTAAGATAAAATATTAATACAAAGTATTAATTTATAGCTTAATAATAATGGACAATGGGTACGTTTAATCCCATCTTTGAGTGGAAAATTATATAAATTTGATGGAGAAAATTTGGAAACGATGCCGATAACAGCAGATCAGTTATTACATTTATCGCTTCGTTTTTCTGACGATTTAGTCTATGCTGGTGGCAAAGAATTACATTCTTACGGTAAGTTTTATTAGATTTTTTATTAGGTTGTGTGTTGTTTTTTTTTATAATTAACATACAAAGTATGACAAGTGTTGAAAGAGCTTCTAGATAACTAAATTTCATAAATCTTCGTTTTTCTGACGATTTAGTCTATGCTGGTGGCAAAGAATTACATTCTTACGGTAAGTTTTATTAGATTTTTTATTAGGTTGTGTGTTGTTTTTTTTTATAATTAACATACAAAGTATGACAAGTGTTGAAAGAGCTTCTAGATAACTAAATTTCATAAAAAAATAATAAATAATAAAATTTTTTAATAAATCTTAAATAAATTTAAATTGTTTACTAAAAAAAATTGTTTAATTTAAAATTCAGATGTAGTTATAAGTATATAATGGTAAAATTATAAAAAATTAAAAAAAAAACTGCTTTATATTTTTTTACTTAAATTTATTGTTTAAAACTATTTAAAAATTAATATTTTCTGTAAAATAGGTGTATTCGCCAAAACAGGAGAAATAAAATATAAATGTGTTTCTGGTGTTTCTGAATGCAAAAATAACACTGATAGCCAAGAATATATAGATCAAGATATACTTATTATTCAACGTTTTCAACAAACTGTGCGAGCTATAGAAGATCGTGCAGGTAGTGAAAGGTGAACTAACATCTATCTCAGTTCTATTTTTAGTTATAAAATAAGATATGCCAAATAACATTATTGTTTAAAGGTGGAACTTCAGCGTTGGACAATATGAATTAAAACTAAAATCTCCTGTTTTTTGTTCTAATGAAGATATTGCTCTAAATATAGAAATCAAAGCAGTTATTCCAGAAGGTTTAATTTGGGCTGTTGATAAAAGTAATCCTAAAGTTACATTATGGCAATATAAGGTCAGTATTAATTACAATATTTAATATGTTAGTAACAATTATGATATTTAATATGCACAATAATAAAAGTTATTATTTTTATTAGTTTGATTCTCCAATTGTTGCAATATGGCGTGGAGACGTTTCTTCAGGACCTTTAGAAAAAATTGATTTATTTGATACCTCTCAATGGGTCTGGGGATCGGAATATTCTACAATTAGACCAGGTTTATATTTAGGCATGCATGAAAGACAATTATATGTGCAAGAAAATCACAACAATAAAAATTTGTTAGATTATAAATATGTTCAACATGTAAAATATCCATGGCAGCCATATCCAGCAGCTAGTAAGTTTTCTCATTCATTTTATACTGTATATTTGCAAAATTAACTTTTATTATTAATGCTTTTAAAAAATTCCAGTTACTGCTGTTGTAAGTACTTTACCAGATAAAGATAATGATGAAGATTCCATTAAAACAAATGAAGCACAGAATGCAATTGCATTGTCTGTATTATATAATTCAGAATATATTAATGGTAATTTTGAACATGCCAATATCTTTAGAATTGCTGATTATAAAAATGATAATGGTGTAGAATACAGTAACTATATATGTGAATATAAACAAATTTATTATTGTGAATTTATTCTTTTATAGGTAATGGATTTTACTTATATTCAACGGATCAAGTATCTAATAAGCAATGTAATCGTAGCAATTCTGATATTTTACTTATCACTGGCTTGGAACAATCTGTGCAAAATTATATTGAAGAGGAGAATATTACACCTGCTAAAGTTGTGATGTCAATTTGGGATTGGTGGTAAATTTCTAATTATAATTGTATTTATGTAAAATATAAAATATATTATTTATTAAGTTTAATTTTCTTTTGTTATTAGGAAAGAAATTTTAGTCATTTCGATTACAACTGCCTTTCTATTGAATTTTATGTTGACACAACGTTTCTTTAATGTAACGACAGTTGCTACTAAAGATGCCATACCTGCGGTAAGTAAATCAATAAACTGTATAATTATTTATATGTTTTTTACTTTCTTATTTAACTATTTTGATAGTTTTTTTATTTTAAATTAAATGAATTATGTTTCAGCCTTTAATAGTTGAAAGACATATAGAAACCAAAATAAGTGATACAACTAATGATGATGGTGAAAATTTTTATTCACGTTTCTTAATGGACTATGAGCTAGTTGATTGCTTGGGAAAAGGAGGGTATGGTGTGGTCTTTGAAGTCAAAAACAAAATTGATGATTGCAATTATGCTATTAAAAGAATTGCATTGTCGAACAAGTTAGTATTTAATTTTTTTTTTCAATTTTATAAACAGTATATTCTTAAGTGAAATTTAAATACTAAATAGTGTTATAATTATCTTTTTCTAAACTAAATGATATCATTAAATGGTTATTTTTTGTTCTTTTATTGTATTAATGTACAATATGCTTAGTTTTATATAAATTTAAATAGTAACAAGTTAAAAATTTATCATGATTTTTATAATGCAGTCTATTAAGATTCCTAAATTTACGAAATAATCGATTACAGCGTCTAATTGCATACTTATAATATAAATATGGTTATTACAATAAAACTTCAACTAGATAAGAATTTCATTTAAAAAATACTATTGCAGCGAAGATTCAAGAGATCGTGTCACAAGAGAAGTAAGAGCATTAGCTAAATTGGAGCATCACAATATTGTAAGGTACTATTATGCTTGGTTAGAGTGTCCTCCTAGTGGATGGCAAGAAGAGCACGATCAACAATGGATTGATAAGCTAAAATGTTCAACTGATTTTCTTTCATCAGAATTAACTCAAACCGAGACAAAACCTAATCATTCTGTATACATCGATGTTTCACAAACTGATCAATCTTCTGTAGAAAGTGCCTGTGAAGCTTTTGAATTAAATAAAGGGGATGCGAACGATGATTCGTACATTATATTTGAAAGATCAAACAAGAAACAGTATGATAATAACTCGATTTGCATTAATACTTATAGTACCGAGAATTCGGACATATCCTTTTCGAATAGTATAACTGAAAAAGAATTGCCCAATAATAATGAAACTGATTATTCTTTAGAAGATATTGTGTTTGAAGAAACTGATAATAATATTGCAAAAAAGAAAAAAGAATGCAAACCCCAAAAACCGTTTTCCTTGGATTTAAAGAATAAGTCAAACACCAAGAAGTCTGCAAAAATGTTCCTATATATACAGATGCAATTGTGCCAAAGACTCAGTTTGAGAGAATGGCTGAAGCAGGACACGTCAGAAAGAAATTTTTCTCGGATATTAAATATTTTCCAACAAATAGTAGATGCTGTGGAGTATGTACATTTACAAGGATTAATTCATCGAGATTTAAAGGTAATATTTGTTTTAAGATTTGTGGATGATGAAAGTTTTATAATATTTTATATATTATAGTAAAAAAATTGTTTTTTTTAGCCATCAAATATATTTTTTGCTTACGACGATAAAATAAAGATTGGTGATTTTGGACTCGTGACTGCGATGATTGACGGATGCGATAGAACTCACACGCCTGCAGCTGAAAATGAAAATGTTTCTTTGAAGAACAATGTGCATACTGCATGTGTTGGCACGCACTTATATATGTCACTTGAACAAATGAACGGCCAAATTTACAACTACAAAGTAGATATTTATTCTTTAGGAATAATTTTCTTTGAACTCCTTACACCATTTTCTACTGACATGGAGAGAATAGTAACGTTATCAAATCTTAAAAAATCCATTTTTCCAAAAGATTTTGCGAAGAATTATCCTGCCGAGGTAAAAGAATCAAAAGAATATATTAATCATATATTATCTCGTATATTATATACGTATATATATACATACATTTCTTTTGCAGTATGATTTGCTCAAAATGATGTTAGATGAGGACCCTACGAAGCGACCTACGACATTGGGTATTAAAGCAAGACCTCCTTTGCTGAATTATGAAATAGTTGATTTTAATACAGATAAAGATTCAAAATGGCATTTTGAATTGCCGCAACTGACTAGACATTCCTCTTTAACTAACAGTAGCAATAGCAACGGCGATTTGCCTGAGAATATAAATTAAGTGTACAAATTGCAAATATTTTTGACATTTATTTTTTATTAAATAAAAAGCGTTTATTTTTATTTTATAATTTCTTAGATAAATTTGTTCATTAACTTCCAAGGATGTCCTAAAGACATTCAGAGGATACTTCTATATCATTCGAACGTCCTCAGAACCTTTTCAGGATGTTTTTTGGATGAAGTGTGGATATGTTTTTATTAATTTGTCATCACATATTTGCACATGTATATAGGAATTATGCTTCTAAAAATTATTTGGATACTAATACTACTAAATCTTCATTAAAATGTTTTCAAAAATTTCAAGAAATATCTTTTTAATAGAATTAAAATGTTGTTATGTCATTTTTATGAACATTTTAGAATCATCCTCATTTTATCTCATAAATTTTATTTATTAAACATGTATAATATATATTATTTTGTCATTTGATTATACAAATTTACTCTTTACAAGGCTGTAATAGAAAATGAGTAAAATAACTTTTTAAATATAATATTATACAAAAGATTTCGAATACTGTAGTTTTTTTAGATTATGTAAATCCTTTATAACTATATCATTTTCCTGTACCTATCTCTTTTTTTTTTTTTTATCCTTTGATAGGCTGCAAAGTCACATGTATGTACATGAGCTTGAGCTTGTGTGTACTATCGGTTACGCCAGGCCGCCGACCGATGGCGCGCTGATCGAGGACTTGTGGCGTTGCAGGCGTTAGCTGCGGCGCTCAAGTCTGTTCAGTTAAGGAGCCTACAGACCAGAGCGGCGCAGTTGCGGGATTCTCTAAATGTTTTTTCGATAATTGTTGTTATCGTTAACTAGCGACAGCCAATGAGAGCCGCGCTTTTTTTTAGGATTGTCCTGCCATTAGCTGTCGCTGATTAACGATAGCGACAGATAAAACGTTTAGAGAATCCCGCAACAGCGGTGAAACGGCGAGCGATAGCCAATGAGAGCCATGCTTTTACGCAAAATCATGGCTCTCATTGGCTATCGCTCGCC